GTGTGGGAAGTGGTGACTGCCATCTTGTGTGGGAAGTGGTGACTGCCATCTGGTGTGGGAAGTGGTGACTGCCATCTTGTGTGGGAAGTGGTGACATCTTGTGTGGGAAGTGGTGACTGCCATCTTGTGTGGGAAGTGGTGACTGTCATCTTATGTGGGAAGTGGTGACTGCCTTCTTGTGTGGGAAGTGGTGACTGCCTTCTTGTGTGGGAAGTGGTGACATCTTGTGTGGGAAGTGGTGACTGCCATCTTGTGTGGGAAGTGGTGACTGCCATCTTGTGTGGGAAGTGGTGACATCTTGTGTGGGAAGTGGTGACTCTCATCTTGTGTGGGAAGTGGTGACTGCCATCTTGTGTGGGAAGTGGTGACATCTTGTGTGGGAAGTGGTGATGTGTGGGAAGTGGTGACTGCCATCTTGTGTGGGAAGTGGTGACTGCCATCTGGTGTGGGAAGTGTTGACTGTTATCTTGTGTGGGAAGTGGTGACTGTCATCTTGTGTGGGAAGTGGTGACTGCCATCTTGTGTGGGAAGTGGTGACTGCCATCTTGTGTAGGAAGTGTTGACTGTCATCTTGTGTGGGAAGTAGTGACATCTTGTGTGGGAAGTGGTGACATCTTGTGTGGGAAGTGGTGACTGCCATCTTGTGTGGGAAGTGGTGACTGCCATCTTGTGTGGGAAGTGGTGACATCTTGTGTGGGAAGTGGTGACTCTCATCTTGTGTGGGAAGTGGTGACTGCCATCTTGTGTGGGAAGTGGTGACTGCCTTTTTGTGTGGGAAGTGGTGACATCTTGTGTGGGAAGTGGTGACTGCCTTTTTGTGTGGGAAGTGGTGACTGCCATCTTGTGTGGGAAGTGGTGACATCTTGTGTGGGAAGTGGTGACTGCCATCTTGTGTGGGAAGTGGTGACTGTCATCTTGTGTGGGAAGTGGTGACTGCCTTCTTGTGTGGGAAGTGGTGACTGCCATCTTGTGTGGGAAGTGGTGACTGTCATCTTGTGTGGGAAGTGGTGACTGCCTTCTTGTGTGGGAAGTGGTGACTGCCTTCTTGTGTGGGAAGTGGTGACATCTTGTGTGGGAAGTGGTGACTGCCTTCTTGTGTGGGAAGTGGTGACATCTTGTGTGGGAAGTGGTGACTGCCATCTTGTGTGGGAAGTGGTGACTGACATCTTGTGTGGGAAGTTGTGACTGTTATCTTGTGTGGGAAGTGGTGACTGCCATCTTGTGTGGGAAGTGGTGACTGCCATCTTGTGTGGGAAGTGGTGACTGCCATCTTGTGTGGGAAGTGGTGACATCTTGTGTGGGAAGTGGTGACATCTTGTGTGGGAAGTGGTGACATCTTGTGTGGGAAGTGGTGACATCTTGTGTGGTAACTGCCTTCTTGTGTGGGAAGTGGTGACTGCCTTCTTGTGTGGGAAGTGGTGACTGCCATCTTGTGTGGGAAGTGGTGACATCTTGTGTGGGAAGTGGTGACATCTTGTGTGGTAACTGCCTTCTTGTGTGGGAAGTGGTGACTGCCATCTTGTGTGGGAAGTGGTGACATCTTGTGTGGGAAGTGGTGACTGCCAACTTGTGTGGGAAGTGGTGACTGTTATCTTGTGTGGGAAGTGGTGACTGCCATCGTGTGTGGGAAGTGGTGACTGTCATCTTGTGTGGGAAGTGTTGACTGTTATCTTGTGTGGGAAGTGGTGACTGTTATCTTGTGTGGGAAGTGGTGACTGTTATCTTGTGTGGGAAGTGTGAAGTTAAGTTCGTGGTGAGCATGGGTTATTTTTAGACTTTACAAAAGAACGAAATGCTTTGTGCTGTATGCCAGGGGCGTAGCGAGGGGGGGGGGGGCGGGGGGTGCGGACCGCACCGGCTGACACCATTTAGGGGGGTGACACCAAGGGAAAAAATAGCAAAATATATAGAGAAAAACTCGAGGGGGGGGGGTGCAAATCGAAAGTTTGAGGGGGGGGGGGGGTGCAAATCGAAAACTCGAGGGGGGGTTGCAAATCGAAAATTTGAAAGTTTGTCCCTGGGAAGGGTCTCTATGCCTCTGGGGGGGGGGGGTGACACCATTAAGTGCCGCACCGGGTGACACCCGACCTCGCTACGCCACTGCTGTATGCTGCTGTTTGGTGTTGTGTATGCTGCTGTTTGGTGCCGTGTGTGGTGCTGTTTGGGGCAGTTAAGAGCGCAGTCGAAAAACTTGTGCTGGTCAGTATTATAAGCATGTACTCCATAGCAGTGTCTGCATTACATGTATTGTGTCTGGGGTTAGTCTTTAGGAAAAATTTAGATTTATTTAAGTGTTGTCACTAGGAAAAGTTTTGATTCAAGTGTGGCCATGATTAGACATATTCACCCGTTACATATTTGTGAGTTTTTTTTTGTTATTTTTTTTTGTTGCCTCAATTAAAGATTTAGTTTTCTTAAGTGAAGAAAACTGTGTCTTTAATTTTTGTCTTTGTATTAGAGAAATGTTCTTTATTTTCTTTTTGTTATAAAAAATCTGCTAATTTGATATAATGTTCATTTTGGTTTTAAAATTAATATTTTCGTTTTTTTTTGTTAAAATTTTTTGTATCACAGAAATTAAACTTGCAATGTTTTAAAATTATGCTATTTTAGGTCTTCAGAAGTATTTGTGCTACTTCATCTGCTACGGTGGTCGTAATTTTTTTTTTTAAATGCTCAGATTATATTTTATGTTATGAGTTATTTTTTATGGGTTATTTTGAGAACAGTCTTGTTCATTCGTCAAAAGCCTTCGGCCGAAATCTATCAGCTAATATATATATATATATATATATATATATATATATATATATATATATATATATATATATATATATATATATATATATATATAAAAATAAATATATATATATAAATATATATATATATATATATATATATATATATATATATATATATATATATATATATATATATATATATATATATATATATATATTTATTTATTTATTTATTTATATATATATATATATGTGTGTGTGTGTGTATATATGTCTGTGTCTGTGTCTGTGTAATAAGCACATATTTATTGTGTGTAAGCGCTCTATTCAGCTGGATATGACTTGTAGATCTTTAAAATCAATGATTGATCAGGTTTATCAGTGATTGATCAGGTTTATCAGTGATTGATCAGGTTTCGATATCGAACATCGGACTTGGGTCGGGTGACACGTGACCCTTAGGGAAGGCACGTGCAGCATACGTCAGTTTATTGCTGTGCACTCGCACGTGTTCGCTCAGGCAAGTTGGAGTGAATGTTTGTTTGAAACAACAGCCGTTCTAAATATTTCTTCCTTTCTCCCAGAAAAGTTGGAGTGAATGTTTGTTTGAAACAACAGCCGTTCTAAATATTTCTTCCTTTCTCCCAGAAAAGTTGGAGTGAATGTTTGTTTGAAACAACAGCCGTTGTAAATATTTCTTCCTTTCTCCCAGAAAAGTTGGAGTGAATGTTTGTTTGAAACAACAGCCGTTGTAAATATTTCTTCCTTTCCCCACTGAAAAGTTGGAGTCAATGTTTGTTTGAAACAACAGCCGTTGTAAATATTTCTTCCTTTCCCCACTGAAAAGTTGGAGTCAAATGTTTGTTTGAAACAACAGCCGCTCTTAATATTTCTTCCTTTTCCCCCAGGAATATTCCAGTCATTGTTTGTTTGAAACAACAGCTTCTCTAAATATTTCTTCTTTTCCCCCCAGGAAAGTTGTAGAAGTTAGTATTTGTATAAAGTGCAACCGTACTTTAATACTTGTTCCCTCCTCGACAAATGTATTCGTCGATAAACTCGATTTGGTAGTTACGATTAGCATACTATACTCACGGGATTACCGAAGACTTCCACAATAAGGTTTTGGCTTAGTAACCGTTAGCCAAAACCTAATCCCGTGCATGCAGTACTCACGGCGTAGATATTGTGGGCAAGGTTTGGTGTAAAGGTTAGGCTGGGGGGTAATTTTTACGTCATGGTTTGTTGATAATTTCATTTTTGTTAAAGGCCATAAAAACTAAACAATCTATGTATGACTACTCGGCAGGTAAGTTACTTTAGTTCAGGTGTGTGTATGGCTACTCTGCCGGTATGTTAGTTTTGATGCTGAAAATGTTGACGTCGCAAATTGGAATTTCAAAATAGAATTTTGTGTGTAGTCGTGTGAACGGTGAATTTTTAATTAAAAAAATAATTATTTAGTAAACACGTGACTTTTAGGCAAAATTGGCAATGATTTTTAAAGTCACTAGCTTCAGCTCTCTGACCAATCGCTTTCATTGGTTAGAGCTATTTTTAGCTGGCCACAAAATTAGTTTTTACTGTGTGAACTAGCCGGCAAACGTTTCAACAATTTAAGTTGTTTGGACTGCTCTAGACAATTCCCTGGCAAGATGAAGCGATAAACTGTAAATCGCCGACGTCCACGAATCGTGTTTTTTTTTTTTTTAAATTGGCAGAATCTTTTGGCGGATCAAGTGGGGGTGTTGGGGGGCGCTCGTCCCAGGGGACTTAAAATTGGCGTTACTCAAATTACGTGCACTCACATTTTTTTAAACCTTGCAACATGCATGATTTATAAACTAAATTTACTACCAGTCAGTAATTAACAATTTTATTGATCGTGATTTGATTACAATGTTTTAAATTCACTGGCTTCGCGTAGAACGTAACACAAATTTTGCAAGAAACAAAAGAAAGAAAACAGCAGATAGATTTTTTTTTGTTCGTTAGGAAGAAAATGGCTAAGGAAACTGTAGACAACAAAAGCTGATAGACAAACATTAGGCCGGACGTGCTAGAAGACAATCAGACAACATCATGACGGACGGACGACAGACAAACGAACTTGGTTTTTGTAGAAATAAAAAGTTCTACTTTCTTTTCTATGTATTGTTATAAAATTGAAAAGCTCAAATTATGAATCATAACAAATAAAACATAATCTTTAAACTTATTCGGAATTATGTTAAATTCTAGAAATTGAACGCTTTTAACTGTTCTATATTTATTTTTTTCCATTCCTTTTATATTTATTGTTGCAGTTTTAAAAAAATGTTTACGCTATTAGATTTATAAATCAGCTATTCAACAAAAAACTAAAACAATAGTGTAGTGTTTGAGACGTAGAGTGGGAAAAAGAAATATACATTGGAACAACTTTTTTTTTCTTAAATTTTAATTCTCTTTTGAAAGCCAATCTTAGTGGGGACATCGAACATCACAACGGTGTGACGTCATGGAATGTGGTGTGTGTGTGTGTGTGTGCTGCCCATGACGTCCACACGGTCAGCGTATCACATGTGACGTGACGTCGCCCTATGACGTCAGTCAGACGAGGCTGGATCGGTTTAAGCAAGATTTGGAGCAGGTCAGATGTTCGCCCTTGCAGCCCTCGAACCCCTCGATGTCGGGATAATCTTGCGCGCACCTGACGAACTTTGGGGCGCATATCTGCACATAACAACCTGAAACAAAATATATCTGGTCAGATCAGTTAGAAGATATCAAGTTCTTAAAGTCATGAAAAAATAAAAATATATCTGGTCAGATCAGTTAGAAGATATCAAGTTCTTAAAGTCATGAAAAAATAAAAATATATCTGGTTAGATCAGTTAGAAGATATCAAGTTCTTAAAGTCATGAAAAAATAAAAATATATCTGGTCAGATCCGTTAGAAGATATCAAGTTCTTAAAGTCATGAAAAAATAAAAATATATCTGGTTAGATCAGTTAGAAGATATCAAGTTCTTAAAGTCATGAAAAAATAAAAATATATCTCGTCAGATCAGTTAGAAGATATCAAGTTCTTAAAGTAATGAAAAAATAAAATTATATCTGGTCAGATTAGTTAGAAGATATCAAGTTCTTTAAGTCATGAAAAAAAAAAGAAAAAGAAGACTACATAAGGAAGGAGAGAAGGAAAAAAAAAACGGGGAAGTAAAATAACCGTTTTAGAACAAGAAAAAAACAGACAAAAAAATTAAAAAGTCTAACTAGGAAGGTGGGTCTTGAAGTCCGCAGGTAAAGCGAGGAGCATTGAACACAGAGTGGCCTAGCGATAGAGAGCTAGACTTCTAACCCTTAAATCTCGGATCGAATCCGGGCTCAATCCCTGAGTCCACCCAGTTCTGATGGGTACATAACTCTCAACAACAAGTGAATTCGTCTTCACTTGCCGGAAAAATAGCAAGTTGTATATTCGATTATAGACACCAGCCGATAATCTAAGCGAGGCAAGTTTGGTTCTATAGCGTAGCGAGCTCGTATGCTAACCTCATGATTACAAGTTGGGAACAATCAGCATACATCTAGCCAAACGTCAAAAAAATACCAACACAAGTTTAAGTGCTACAATTAACAGACAACTGGACGGGCCTCTCTCTATCATACGTGGTCATTACCGGCTCAAGCTTTTGCTAATTAGCCAGGCGACTAGACCAGGGCTAGGAATTGAACATTTCCCCCACCCATGGCGCCAGACGCTAGACTCGTGGGTTTCCTTCAGGCTTTTGCTTCCTCCCACAGTACACCTGGTTTTGGACTTACGGAGCATCTCTGTCAGGGGACGACCTATGGTCTTGAGCTCAGGATCCGAATTCGTGACCGTCGGGTTAGCTCACGTGCGGTCTAACGCTAGACCACACCTACCCCACCGACACAAGCTCTGCTGCTCAGTTTAGTGTCAGGGTCAAGGTCGGTAACTGAGTGCTCACCAGTCGTCGATTTACTAACTGCTATTAAGGTCTCACGGAATAATGCGAATCTCTCACCCCTTCTTTGTTGTTCGTATATATTTTAATGTTTATAAATTAGTTTTAAATAAACCGGTAGTGATCTCCCCTAAACTTTCTCGAATATTCTTAAATAACACTACGGGGGATGGCAACTCGTGATATAAACATGATTTTTAATCCATTTTTAATTACTTAAACTTTAAAAAAAAGAATAGAATTTCGTAGATAAAAAAATTGCGCGCCAAGTGAATGCCTAACAAAATGTAGTGCGGGGTATTATTAGTACTTTATAAAATTCACATGCGTTTTTTGAGAGATGGGGAATAGCGTAAAATACTACTTCAGGTCAACGGAAATTATTCAAAATTTGGAAGAATGCAGAGAATAAAATCTTTTACTTACATGTGAAATTTCATTTATCTATCTGAAATAGTACTCAAGTTATAGGCTTTTGAAAAATTGAAAGTAGAATAATTCAATTTCGTTTACCGGAAAACTCTGAAAAGTTGATACAGAACTACAAATTTGATATACTTGATATATACTTATACATGAAATTTCATCAATCTAGCTGTAACGGTACTCAAGTTATCGTGTTTACAGACACACTCACATACATACATACATACACACACACACAGACATACGGACAAAATTGTAAAACTACGTTATTCCGACTCAGGGAGGTGTAAAACGTCGAGATTAATTGTAAAAATCTTGATTTTTTTCTTTTTTGCACGATTACAATACTTCCTCTATACTCTGTATACGAGAAAGTAAAAAGTCTGAATCACATGAGCAACGCATCACATTTTCGAGATTTAATTAACGGGAAAATGGCTAATTAAATCTTTTTCAAGCAAATTATTTCCAAACTGAAAAATTATTTTTGTATAAAAGTTTATGAAAGACACATCAAATTCCTTTGAAAACTGTCATGTTTTAACTCCCTAAATTTTTTTCTCCAGCTAATTAAAGCTACCGCTCATTAATCAGTCGCACGCGCTGCAGTGGGATTAGTGCCGTGGACATAGAGTGCAGGGCGGAGGTGGTAATGAGGAGGTTTGATTGACAGTTTTCTTCTGCCTGTCAGCTCGTTGGTCTGGTCAGCTCGTTGGTCTGGTCAGCTCGGCAGGTTGGTCTGGTCAGCTCGGCAGGTTGGTCTGGTCAGCTCGGCAGGTTGGTCTGGTCAGCTCGGCAGGTTGGTCTGGTCAGCTCGTTGGTCTGGTCAGCTCGGCAGGTTGGTCATCCTCCCCCCCCCCCCCACACAAGCCCCCACCCCCCTCCTGACCCTCAAGCGAGCGTGTGCTGTGTGAAAATTGCGTTTATCACCCTATTCACGGGTAAGGTAGAACATTCGGCGACTTCCCAGGTATCTAGGGCGTTCATGCGAATCACCGGTTACGGCATGCGCCAACCGTTTAGGTTTATGGTTTGATTTCAGTAGCCCACGGCATGCTGGAGCCCGGGCCGCTCCAGGTCCCTAGGATCCTTAATGCAGTTCGACTGATGATTCAAGTAGTATCGCTGACAGTATTTGTAGGACGCCCAATTAGGAACCTCATGTGTCAATAGAGATAATATAGATAACTCGAGGCATATATATATATATAAATATATAAATATATAAATATATATATATAATTTTAGATGCATTTCAAAGATGAAAAACAGAATTCACTTAGAATTTAATTTGTTTAGGTTACTTCCCATGTAAATGCTAAACAGTACCAAGGTAAACTACCTCTAACATTTGTTTGCTTTCGTTAGACAAAGAAACCAATTAGACTGTAACAAAAGAACTAAACGTTGATAATATGTTATTACCTTTTCCACAAAAATAAAAAAAAACTTAAATGTTTTTTTTGTCTTGTTTCTACTTTACCTAAGATTTTGCGATCATCATTTGATTCTAGTTAAAGCTAAAGACCATTATTTAAATTGAACACATAATCAGACTAGTTGTGAATATTCTCTTTTAGTTCAGTTCTTATGGTAGATTGATGAGCAATATTATATTAAAATGGCCACCTGGCCCGCCCATTCTTAACCGACACATCCCCCCTCATAACACCCTCCCCGCCCCCACCCCTAAACCCCAGAATCCCCATATCACATTGCCTTCATAACTTCATCCTCTTTGTCCCCATGATCCCACCCCTGTGTTGAAATACTATGTTAAATACTGAGGATGATGTATTATCCAAATACATTTCTAACAACATTAATGTGACTCCCACCCCTCAACCCACATGTCCCCACCTTGTTTCGCATCATTTATTTTTTGTCATTCAGTTTCCTATTGTTGCTTATTTGTGTATTGTTTTATTTACACAGCCTATAAACAAACATTATAAAGACATTATTTGACACTATTTTACTATTTTCTTATATGTAGGCTACGGTACTTTGGTCCACAACGTACAAAATGACCCCCTCCTCCTTTTGTATTCATTTTATTATCCTTTAATTAATATTTACAATTGTTTTGTTCACTTTAATAACATGCACGGACTTATGTGAACTCTTTTATGAGAACACTGTTAACCAATTTTTGACCTTTAAAACTCCACTGTATCCCCAGAACCCGTGATAGCTACACGCTTACCCACCCCAAACCTGTCCGTACTAAACATTCAAACAAACATATATACACCAACCTGAACATACAAACCTTTCACCCTCCTGCTTAATCGCTCACACAGCAATCTGTTCGTCAAACCCTCCTCCCTCCCCCCACCCACATACACTATAAATAGTTACACCTCAGCAGTTAGATGACACAGCACGTATTTTGACGCTTGCCTTGCCTTAAACACACACATACACTCTCTCCATGCCTCGTCAGACACATCTACCCCCCCCCCCCCCCATCTGCCCGCATCACCCTCAGACATAATAACCCCACATTCCTTTTAACTGTTCCAACGACCTCACCACCCACCCCAACATCATTTTCGAATATTTATTCATTTACTTATTTATCTATTATTGTAATTCACTATTGTACAAATGAAAATGAAATCTGTGTAAAACAACAAATTTGTGTGTGTGTGTGTGTGTATGTGACTACTAGTTATTCATTTTTCTTCGGTGATTTCTATGTTTAATGCACAGAATGGGATGAAATCCATGCAAACCAGCTTTGTTTTCGACTATTCTTCCTTACGTTATACTCTTCCACCACTTCGTTGGCGAAAATGTTCCAAACAAGCCTCTGTCCAATTTTTAAATCAACAAAATTTAAATTCAATGTAACTTATGTATTCATTTACTTATTTCGCTATTTATTTACTACACTCTATACACCAATGTAACTACCTTGTAAATATCCACCCAAACGGCGTGGAATGTTACTGTATTTGTTTTAAATTGGAAAATAAAAGTATTTTTAAAAAATTACTCTCTTTAAAAAAACTCTTATAATAAATGAAAATATGTTAATGTAAACGTTATTTATACAAGATAAGAGTCCCAGATTATCCAGAGATTATCCGTGTGATGTATAGAACAAAATCGCTAATTATGTGTTATTAATTATTGTGGTAAAATGGGGCGGGGTGGGAGGAGAGGATTATCTATATATATAATTCTCTTCTGGGAGACGCTAGAAAACAAGCTGCAAGCGCGCCTTACAGTCCCCTCTCTTCCTCTCTATCGCTACCACCCCCACCCCACCCTCACATGGTCTGGTGAGCTGTGGTTCACGCTGTTTACATTTTACAATCATA